TAAATCAGGGGCAGGAAATCAAGTAAATCAAGGACTGCATTAGCTGGTGGTAACACAGTAAGTTTCCCCACACTGTTGATCCAGCTAATCCCAAGGGATCTGCAGCATTTCCCTTATCTGTGGAGCCCAGCAAGGCTTAGTGCATTATACTCCTTTCCCAATAAAAACACAGAGGGAACATGAAGTCTATTTTTTAAAAAATCAGCTTAAAAATCTAAAGGGGGAAAATTTGCCTGGCGTGCATTTTCTGGGGGTTTATTTTTAAACTGATTTTTTTTTTTAAGCATCATAATAATTGTTCTTTGCTCTCTGAGTACTGTTCAGCTGCTTTCCGAGGAGTGGGAGGCTCTGCCAGTCGTTTGCACAGGGAACAAGGAAGATATAAATTGCATCCTTTAATAGTCTGCTTCACTTTTCTCAGTAATTACCTTGAAAATCCTCCTATGGTAGGTAACACTATTAAATGAGCCCTTTGGTGCTGTCAGAACTGATTTTTAATTTAATTTCATTTGACCACAGTAGTAGAACTGTTTTAGATGTATAAGATCTAAAAATTACTAATATAGTCAGGAAATCAGAATAATGTTTCCTGAAATCCTTTCTTCTATTAATATTTGCCTAGAAGCTTCCTAAAAAAATATGATCATATTTTCCAGGGAAAAATACTGCTTGTATCTCAGGTGGGTTCTGCAGAGGCCTAACGAAAGCAAAATATTGATTTTCCTGTTGTAACTGAAATAAATGAAGAGCAATGACAACCTGGATAACCCTCTGCTGGAAATGGAAGAGTTACTGCAATTTCTGGAACAGATTGACTTAGTTATTCTCAGCTTTACTGATTAGGTTGCCAGAGAAAAGATGAGTCTTTGCAATCCTCTTAACCTTGGTGATATCTCGGTGAGGAACCTCCTAACGAAAGTTAAGACACTGTTTTAATAAGGATAATTTACCCAGTGGTAACATTGGAGTTTTAAAGGTGATTTTTTTGCTCCTGCACAACTTTGACAGAGCTTTCTCAAGTATCTACAAAGAGTGTCCCGCCTATTACATTCACCTTTATAATAAAAGAACTGGTTTAATTTAATATTGTAGATAAATTTGCAACTTTATCCCATGGCACAGATGCCTGATGGCTTAAACCAGCAAACTAATTTAGACTTGGTTTGCATGGTCAGCCTGTAATTCACAGGTTGACAATTAGGACAAAGCTCAGAACAGCCTTGGAAGAAGACACATTGGAGGAATCAGTTCTCCAGCTGGATAATGTTGGTAGGTCTGAGTTAGCAAAGTTATTTTATAGGAGAATTGCAGTGATAAGAAATAAAGCTCGTTATGCCTCTCAGGGCAAATCTGCCTCCAGCTCTGGTCACAGCACAGGAAGGACATGGAACTGTTGGAGTGAGTCCAGGGGAGGCACCAAGATGCTCAGAGGGATGGAGCCCCTCTGCTGCGAGGAAAGGCTGAGAGAATTGGGGTTGGTCAGCCTGGGGAAGAGAAGCTTTGGAGCGACCTAATTGTGGCCTTCCAGTACCTGAAGAGAGCCTGAAGAAAAGATGGAGAGAGACTATTTCCAAGGGCCTAGAGTGACAGAACAAGGAGAATGGCTTCCCACTGCCAGAGGGCAGGGTTAGATGGGATATTGGGAAGGTATTCTTGGCTGTGAGGGTGGTGAGGCTCTGGCACAGGTTGCCCAGAGAAGCTGTGGCTGCCCCACCCCTGGAAGTTTCCAAGGCCAGGTTGGACAGTGCTTGGAGCAACCTGGTCTAGTGGAAGGTGTCCCTGCCCATGGCAGGGGGTGGAAGGGTCCCTCCCAACCCAGAGCATTCCATGATTCTATGAAATCCTTATTTTCTGAGTCAGTTTTCCTGGGTTACAAGCACTTGTGCTAATAGATGCCCTTGCTTTTGTTTTGCATAGTGCTGTGAATTCTTCTCAGCTTTTTATGAAAATTAGAACAGATTGGGTTTGCTGAGGAGGAGTGATTTTCTCGGAGCTGCCATAAGCTCTGCAGACCAGTTTAGTTGTTCCTATTCACAAGAAATGGGGAAAGGTCACTGAAAAAAACTAACTTTTTCTTCATGAAATAAGTAGTAAAAAGGGACTGTTTGGGAAATTCTTAGGTATGTATTTTTGGGAGGCTATGTCCAAGAAATTGGACAGAATGAGGGTGTTTGAGCAGCTGGGGGGGCTCCTTCTGGAGAAAAAGAGGCTCAAGGGGGACCTTCTCACTCTCTGCAACTCCCTGACAGGAGGGTAGAGCCAGGTGAGGGTTGGGCTCTGCTCCCAGGGAACAAGGGACAGGATATCAAGCTGTACCAGGGGAGGTTTAGATAATTCAAAAAACAATTTCACTGCACGAGTGGTCAGGCTTTTGAATAAGGTGCCCAGGGAGGTGGTGGAGTCACCATCTCTGGAAGCATTCAGGGGACATCTAGATTTGGCCCTTGGGGACATGTTTCAGGGGTGATTATGGTGGTGCTGGGTTGATGGTTGGGCTGGATGGTCTTGGAGGTCTCTTCAAACCATGATTCTGTAGTTCTGTGGTCACAGAGCTAAACATTTAGGGCTTAATACCAAAATTGGTGAAAGGAAAAAAGGTGCAGATAATTCTTCTGTGGCTCAAGATGTGTGTGCCTGTGGTGCAAAAAGAAAAGGGTGGAATTCCTAGAACTAGTTTTTCAGGGGGATGTAACTTCTGCAGAAGCATTTGCCTGGGATTTCTTTGAAGTTTTATTTGTTGGATGTGCAGCTTGTGAAGGTGCTGCCTGTCTGTCCCTGCTGTGCCCATGCCACACTGGCCATGACCTCCATTCCTTTTTTGTAGCAAACTGACCACCTGAGCCATCTGAGGGCCAAGAATTGCTCTCATATTTTCTATGTGCTGGTTTTGTTTAAGGTAAAATACAAACTGTTCGGGTACCAGGTGCTGTTGATACCTCGACTTGCCTTTGACCAAGTGTCAAATCCATGTAGGGTTTATTTTTCTTTCAAGGAACTATATGAAATTTCCGAGCTTTTCCTTCCTTTCTTGTTGCCCAGGGAAGCTGTGGCTGCCCAGTCCCTGGAAATGTTGAAGGCCAGGCTGGACAGGGCTGGGAGCAACGTGGGATAGTGGAAGGTGTCCCTGTCCATGGCAGGGGATGGGACTGGATGAGCTTTAAGGTCCCTTCCAACCAAACCATTCCATGTTTCTGTGTTAAGTAGGAGCCCATATATTTTGTCTGGGAGAGCTAAACCTGAGATTGTAATTTTTTTTGATAACTGTCATCCTGTCTGAGTATGTGCTTCACCCTGTGAAGTTTTGATGACCTTTAAGAGGAATCCAGTTGTTTGAATCCCAGCTCACAAATTATGTGTGATCAGATAATCTTCCTCATTCCAGCCCTTCCCTTAGCAAAGCTTCTCTAATCTTTCACCATTCAGGTGTCTGGGTTTATCTCTGATCATCCTCAGGTTCTGCAGAACCTGTAAGAATCAGCATTTTGTCGGTAGGAAAAAAGTCCTGCCCCAAGAATGTGTGTTGTGGCCCTGGCAGTGAGGAAGAAGCAGGTGTGGGACTGCAGGAAGTGCTGTGTCATCTGAATTTCACTGGGGTTTGTTTTGTTTTTCACTATCTTTCAATCTTTGTGCCTTGCCTTCTTGAAAAGTGGGAGGAAATGAATTTAGAGTCTGAAAGGAGACAGATAAACATCTCTGCTTGCCAAAACCTTCTGTTAATCTGAAGACCCAGCACCACAGGAGCAGCAAAATGTAAACCTGGCCATGCCTTGCCTGTGTTTCATGGGAGAGGAGGATCTCTAGGGGTGAGAGGGTCAATCAGCTCCTTGTACCACCCTGTGGCTTTAAACCTGCCCATGCAGAAGCCCAAATGTGTGGGAAAACAGTGATGTGGTGAAATGTGTGTCTCCCATTCCAAACCATACCAGAACTTGCACATTAAGATGCCTTTTAGGAATTTCTTTAAATAGTGGATTTCACACTGGATGAGGCTAAATAGCTATTTTTTTAACCAGTGTGTAGGAAAAGCAAGCTCTATCCCATACATCCCTGTGTCTTTATCCTCACCCCTGTCCACTGCCCATTTTTAACCCTGTTAATTCATACCTTGGCTATCAGGCTTTATCACTCTGGAACTGCTGGAGTATTTACCAGCAGTTTTGAAACACACAGTCATAGAACACAAAAAAACTTGAGGTGGAAGAACTTGGTGTAAAAAGAAATCTCATACCCTGCCTATATTCCAGCAAAATGGATTAGACCCAAGTGCAGCACTGAAAGAATATTTTTCTTTGCAATTTAATAACAAATTCAAAGCTTTGCTGCTTCTCAGCATTCCCTGTTACCCACATAGAACCAGCCACTGGGATACAGTTTATTTTTGGAGGATTTGGGTGGTGGAGAGCAACTCTGTCATAAAAGATTGCATGAATTACAAAATGTACAGGAGAAAAACAACTCCAAGTGAGGCTCTCTGGAGTGTTTTTATTTGGTTTATTTTCCCCCTAAATACTTGTCCCAGGTGTCAGATCTTTTATGTAAAGGCACAAGAAAGAGTGAGTCAGATTTTAATAGTAACTTAGTCATGACTAAAGGAAGTGTTCGATTTTCTTGGTGGGCTCTTCAGAAGTGCAATCTACAGAACAAAACAAAAGATGGCTTGTAGAATTATTCATATTCTGGTTAAATTTGCTTTGGCAAATCGATAAATATTTATAAAGGGAAGGAAGTTGTGGTATGAGAGGACTCAGGCTTTCACAGAAATTATCTGCAAGTCAGTCTGGTCCATCTCTCCATCTCTCATGTCCTGGTGTTGGTTCTAATACTAAAGTTCAGCAAAATTTAGGAGACATTCTTAGACTCTTATTCTTTTGGATTTGTTTTCCCAGAGAATGTGTGGATGTGGCACTTGAGGACATGGTTTAGTGGTGCCATCCAACTTGGCATTCTGTAATTCCATGCCTTTTCTCACGCCTGTGAGGTCATCTCATTGTACTGTCGATCTAAACCATGGGAGGTTTGCAGAGATGTAACATTGTCATGCTCTGTGCTGCCACATGTCAGGGTTTTAACAGCCCTTCCACTGCTGCAAGATGTAAACCCACCCTGAGTGCTTAGAGAGTGTCCAGAGGAGGGCAGTGGAGATGGGTAAGGGCCTTGAGTGGAATAACAACAAAGATGGGGAAGGGCCCTGAGGGGAAGCCGTGTGAGGAGCAGCTGAGAGCACTTGGTCTGTTCAGCTGGAGGAGACTGAGGGGAGACCTCACTGCAGTTAGAACTTCCTTGGGAGGGGAAGACGAGGGGCAGGCACTGATCTCTGCTCTGTGGGGACCAGGGACAGGACCCCAGGGAATGGCCTGAAGTTGTGTCAGGGCAGGTTTAGGTTGGATCTCAGGAAAAGGTTCTTCCCCCCGAGGGTGGTTGGGCACTGAACAGGCTCCCCAGGGCAGTGGTCACAGCACCAAGGCTGACAGAGCTCCAGGAGTGTTTGGATGATCCTCTGGGCACATGGTGTGACTCTTGGGGATGTGCAGGCTGAGTACTGGACTTGGTGATCCTTGTGGGTCCTTTCCAACTCAGCAAATATGGTATTCTGTGAGATGTGTGGAGGCTGTTGTTGTAAGGAGAGGGCTCTGTCAGACCATAAATCTGTTTTTCCAACTCTGGCTCTGGTGAGTCAGGGATGGATGCTGGGGGGAGATAGCCCTGGGGGGAAGTGTTGCTGAGTCCTTGTTACCTGTCCTTTGCTCCCTTTTGTGGATCCTTTTGTGGAGGGAAGCTGTTGGAGTGCTTTAGAAGACAAATCCCTCCGCTCTTTTCCTTTGAATCCTCCAGCTCTGTGTGCTGGCACTGCTGAAATGGCAGTGAGTTTTGTCTGGCATGGATCTGAGCACTGGGAATGCTTTGGCTGGGATATGTGTGTGTTGGAAATGAAAACAACTGGAGGTGCCTGTGCTGCAGCCAGAACTGCAGGAAGACAGCTACAGCAGTGTTAGAGCTTTGTGTTAGAGTTTCCTTTGAGTTTGTTTTGTTTCCTCCCTTTTTTTCCCCTCTGCTTTCAAGGGAATCAGGTTTGTTGTGGCACATGGAAGAGCAGATGAGCAGTTGGCTCCTTGAGACTGCGGTGTCCTCAGACCTCTGTACTCAGGGGCTGTGCCTGAGAATTATAGTGAGCTTTGTCCTGATGCCTTTTTTTAATTTGAAGAGGTAGAGGTGCAAAATAGATGGTGTTTACCCTGGACACAGGCAGAGTTTGTACCCTTGGTGGCACAGTTGTGTTGTCCTGGAAGCCAAGCCAAGCTGCCATGTTTGAGCATTCAGACTCCTGAGTTCATTGTGGGGTGGGAAGGTTTTGTGCAACCAGCATTTGCTGTGTAAGATGCTTTCAGTACCTGCTGCCAGGGCTTTGAACCTCATAGGAAAAGCAGGTGGTGCAGGTTTCCTGCTTTCCAGGACCCTGGCAGGGGCAGGGAAGAAGATTAGGTGTCTAATGTTCATGCCATGTCTGCTCCTCATCGCTGATGGTAGCCAGGGTCTGGCAGCCCTGTTTTGCAGGAGGTCTGAATTGCTTGTTGCTCTCCTGAAATTGCACTGCATGGAGAGGTGAATGGAATACAGAAAAAGAGTTAAACCTCTGTCCAGGGAGGTTGTGGACTCCCCATCCCTGGAAGTGTTCAAGGCCAGGCTGGATGGATCTCTGAGTGACCTGGTCTGGTGGGGGGTGTCGCTGCCCATGGCACAGGCTGGAATGGAATGGGCTTTAAGGTCCCTCCCAGCCCAAACCATTCCATGATTCTACAAAACCCCTTGATTTCTCAAAGTGAACAGCGTGTTAGAAATCTGACATCACCAAGCCTGAAACTGTTGCACAGCTTTTTGTGGTGGCTTCAGCAATGATGTTTATGAACAGGGGCCCTTCATCCGTCTTCAACCTCAAATAAGAGATTTCCAAGAGGTTTTTCCCCTTCCAAACAGGAGAGAACATAAACCAGCACACAAAAAGTGGCGCTCCAGCTCTACCTGTTCTTTGGGGAAAAAAGGAAAATACAACTCTGTGTTCTTTCTATATAATCTTGAATGCTGCTTTTTTCTTAGCACTAAACCACAGCAATAAAAAGAAAGGGCCTGGGAACACTCCAAGGGAGGTTATTCCCATGTGCTGCTTTCTCCTGCTGCTTCAGCTGCTCAGCTGAGTTTTATTCCCCTTCTCATTCCTGCTTTGTTCGAGGTGGCTGCAGTGTCACCTCTGCAGAAGGCTGTGATTTAGTGGCTGGAGTGTGTGTGGCAGTGTAATAATAAATAATGTTTGGGAGTTGTCATTGAATTTTAGAATCACATTACAAATGCAAATTTCTTCTGTGAGAGCCACCTTGAGCTGTTCTTGGAGACCTTCTGTGCTGTACCTCTGAAAAGGGCTCAATTAAAGACATTTTAGAGAAAAACCTGTTAGCTTTGGTCCCAGATTACTGGGCTGGTCTCAAGGCTGGCTTAGATTGCAGAGCCTTAGGAATGCTGGTTGCTCTCAACATGATTTTGCTAAATATTGAAGTGGCCTTTCACAGTTACAGAGCTGCACTTGCAGAACATCTACTGCCTGTGTTTTATGGAAAACCAGACAGACAAGAGGAAACAGCCTCAACTTGCACCAGTGGAAGTTAAGATTAAATATTATGGAAAGTTTTTTCATGGAAAGGGTTGTAAAGCACTGGAACAGGATGCCCAGGGAAGCTGTGGAGTCACCATTGCTAGACGTGTTCAAAACATGTGGATGTGGCACTTGAGGATATGGTTTAGTGATGAACATGGTGGTGCTGGGTTGAGGGTTGGACTTAATGATCTTAAAGGTCTTTTCCAACCTTAACAATTCCATGATTCTGTGAAAATGGGCAGCAAGTTATAAATCAGCTGTGATGGTGATGGTTAGTTTGTCATCAAAGCCAGTTTGTTATTCAGAAATATGGTTTTTCTTTCAGATTGCCTGTCTGAAGAAATTGGATTTAACAACACGAGCTTTTTAGAACGGGGTGCACTTCAATCTTGATAATGAAGAAAAGCAGAAGTGTCATGACAGTAACTGCAGATGAGGTGAGTTTCTTCTGAAGATGTTTTATTTTCCCCAGTACTTCATGAAAACGATAAAAAAGCTGTTTTTGTCTCATTTCAGAAATATGAGCTGATTCTGCTTTGAGTGCTCTTTGATAATCCTGGAAGATTATTATTTAATAAGCAGAAAATAAGCATAGCATATTTAAAAATGAACAAACCAACCCCCATGACAGGTTTAGAGGAGTCTTATACATACCATATACTCTGTCTTTGGTCAGTGTAGTGTGGGCAGCCAGCTGGGAATGTTGGTGTGACTTAAGGAATATCTGTTCTGGATCCCACGTTTGCTCATACGCTGCACTTACATGCTTATGAGTGTTCCACTGTCTCTCCCCACTGCAGTTGCTGAACACTTAATGTGATGATAAATGTGTTACTCCATCTCTACGCTTTCTAATCGTCATGGTAATCCCCTATTAATTAAACTCCAGTTCCCATTCTCTGGAGAAATGTATCACTTTGTAATGATGGCCTGATAAACAGTCTTAATTGGCCTGTTTGTCACAGCTGAGGCTCTCAAAAAAACAGGAAATCACGTGGAATGTAAAGGAAAACACAGTAGAGGAGCTGAACCTAAGAGTTAGAGTAACCTGTAGCACTCCCCCAGTAAATAAGTGTTTATTTTGCACTCTTAGAGCACATGTTGCACTGCTCATAGTCAGTTTGCCTGAGCATGAGGCTGAGTTTGCTCAGTCCTCACTGACTTTAATGAAAACAGGTATCTGAAATCTAATGGGAAGCTGAAAAACTCTTCTGGACACTTCTTGAATAATAACAAATAATTAAATAGTCCTATGAAGACTATTAATAAGGGCAGGTTGAGTCAGATCCTCATACAGAAGGCAAGGCTTTCCTTTCTGGAATTCCTAGGAGTGTTTTTGACCTGATTTTGTGCAGTGGAAGAACCTGTGAGGCAACAGAGGCCTTTGCAGTTCATAGAACCACAGAATCATTTAGGTTGGAAAAGACTGCCAAGATCAAGTCCAACAAGCTGTTCCTGGAAAATTATACCTCACTCATTTTCTCTGTAGTCCCCCAGTGCTGGCTGGAAGAGCACAGTTTGTGGGGAAAATGAACCAAGGGATTTGGGGAGACGGTAAAGTGGGTTTGGAAAGGTCTGTGGAGGGTGGAAAGAGCAGGGTGGAGATCAAAATTCAGAGGGAGGTAGAAAAAGAAGATAAATGTGGCCATAAATATATAAATATATGTATATATATATACACACATATACACCCATCAAAATAACCCTCCAGCTTCTATTGATAGCTCATCACATGGAATACAGAAATAGCCTCGTTTATATTGGACAGCTATATTTGAGTAACTAAATTCTCTGGGTGAGACCAAAACTGACAACCAGCCCTCCTGCAGCTCTGTTCTGCTGCAACTTCTGGCTGTGTTTGACAGCTAGCTCTGTGATCATGGGGATGCTTTTAAATAAAAACCTGTAGAAACTAGAAGAGGAAAAACTGCTTCAGTTGATCAAAACCTTTTTTGGAGACTATTTCTACCAGCAATGTCAGACATAGGGCAGAGTGCTTTTCTCTGAAGGGGAAGTGTTTAATTACATTAGAGTGAAATGTTGAATTTAGTTGAGACAAGTTCTGAATGAATTTTCAAGTGCACTCACAACTTGATAAAATAACACAGGGCTCTCAGACTCTGCCAAGCCTTCAGAAGAACAATTGGAGAAAAATTGCATGTGTTTTATCTTCATGGAGGAAAACATTTATTTGCAGAACTTCAACGACTTCTTGTCTCTACAGAACTCTCTGGATTACCTGGAGTGTGGGCTGAGTAAGTCCTACAGCACTTCCACCCACGCTCTGGGCATTGACCTGTGGAGAGGGAGAAGATGCTGCTCTGGTAATTTGCAGTTACCACCATTGTCCCAGAGACAGACAGAGAAGGCCAGGACACCTGACAGAGACATTGTCTGTAGACCGACAACTCTGCCTCTGCTGACACCTCCAAGTATTGCAATCACCACCTACCAAGACTGGTAAGTTATTTTCTCTTGTTGTAAATCTCATGTAATTGTGGTTTTATTACCTTTTTTAATTTTTTTTTTCCCCTTGGAGTTGGCTTCTTTCCTTATTTTTTTAAGATAGATAATTATCTATGTTAATCAGTACTGTTGAACTCTATCAGTTGGTTTGTCATCCATATAACTTTACAAAGTTATTGCCTTTTCTTTGAAATTCTACTTCTGTTAAAATCCCTCGTGAAACTTTTGTATCATAAATTCTGATCTTGGCCAGAGGATTGTGTTACTACTTTTCCACCCACACAAGAGTTCAGGATGGTGAAAGACAACAGATTGAGGAAAAAGGCTTTAACTCTGGCTATTTCCTGTCCATGTGTTCGAAAAAAGACTTGAAAAAAGCCCATTTGAATCTAATGTTAAACTCAAGATAAGTCCCAAAGAAACCATCAGAGAGCTGATTACAAGGGACTTGCTAAGAGGTGAGTTCTTAAATAGGAACTGGTGTTAAGTGCCAAAAAAAGGAAATTAATCTGGAGTCAGGAGAGGAGGCAAAGCCCTGAGTTTTGGAATTGCAAGGATGGATTTAATGGCAAAATAAGGTTGACTGTCCTGCTTGTCATACAGATCTTGAAATGACATTAATGCAGCCTTACAACCTGTAGTTTCAGCTCAGGTTTCAAGTGAGCTTTAGATTCTAGTTTATAAATTTTCCACTCTCAGTTTTGTTTTCTGATTGCAAGACATGTTCACATCATTATTTCCAACTTGGAATCTGGTTTTAGCTTCTGTTAAGCTCAGCACTTTTCAGTTTGTGTTTGAACAATTACAGAGGACATCCCAAATCCATTTTTTAGAGTCCTTTAAAAAGAATGTTCCTGTTGAAAATAGGATTTATAAACTCTGCGCTTGAATGAATAGCTGAGATACAGAAATCAGGGAGGAATTAGCAGGAGCTTTTGTTCAGGTTTTGTGCTTAATTGCTGTGATAAATTTAACAAAATGAGTTATCTAATTTTAAATGGATTGTGAATTTTGACGATAAAAGGGTTGGTTTACCTTTGGGAGCATTGTCCAAGTGTTCCCTTGTGCGTGTGCGTGCAGCAATTTGCAATCCTGACAGCGAGGCCATTGAGAGCCTCTTTACAAGGTGGGATTGGAAGAATAAGATCTTTGAATACACATTAGTCCCTGATTTAGGAGAAATGCAAGCGAATTGCAATGGATTTATCATTAATTTCCTTGGAACACAAGGGGGCATTGCTGCTCCTCTTTTTCAGTACAGCAGAATCGATGGATGAGGGTCTTTTCTTGAGCTGCGTGTGCTCCAGTCCCAGAGAAACCCCTGATAACACATTCTCAGGTTATTGCTATTTCTGCACTGTAAAAATCCCAGTTTACTGAAGGGACTGGGAGTTGCTGGTCAGTGTGACTGGTGATGCAGAGCTGTTCCAACAGGACCACACCTGGAATATTGGGGCAGTTTGCAGCACCACAATATAAGGAAGATATGAAGCCATTAGAGAGTGTCCAAAGGAGGGCAATGGAGATGGGGAAGGGCCCTGAGGGGAAGCCGTGTGAGGAGCAGCTGAGGGCACTTGGTCTGTTCAGCTGGAGGAGACTGAGGGGAGACCTCATTGCAGTTACAGCTTCCTTGGGAGGGGAAGAGGAGGGGCAGGCACTGATCTCTGCTCTGTGGGGACCAGGGACAGGACCCCAGGGAATGGCCTGAAGTTGTGTCAGGGCAGGTTTAGGTTGGATCTCAGGAAAAGGTTCTTCCCCCCGAGGGTGGTTGGGCACTGAACAGGCTCCCCAGGGCAGTGGTCACAGCACCAAGGCTGACAGAGCTCCAGGAGTGTTTGGATCCTCTGGGGCACCTGGTGTGACTCTTGAGGATGGTCCTGTGCAGGGTTGAGGGTTGGACTGGATGATCCTTGTGGGTCCCTTCCAACTCACGTATTCTGGGATTCTGTGGTTCTGTTTTTGCATTGCCCTCACCATTCTGACCAGTGAGATTGGCTACTCTTACAACTGGGCAGGAGACTGGTCTGAACTTTTCCATTTTCTGTTTAAGTTCTAGTCATTGAGGGTTTTTCCCTAGTTTAGCACTGATCCCTACCCATGCCAGGCAGTTCCTTCCCTATGCAATTCCCAGATATTTGGGGCCTGACCAGACTCTCGGGGAGCACAGTCATAGAACCACAGAATTGTCAAAGTTGGAAAAGACCTTTGGTATCATCAAGTCCAATCTTTAACCAGCATCACCATTAACCCATATCCCCAAGTGCCACATCCACATGTTTTTTGACCCCTCCAGGGATGGTGACTCCACCACTGCCCTGAGCAGCTGTGCCAAGGCTGGACAACAGTTCTCATCAAGGAATTTTCCCTAATAACCAACTTAAACCTCCCCTGGCACAGTTTGAGGCCATTGCCTCTCATTCTGCCCCTTTTTCCCTGGGAGCAGAGCCTGACCCCCTCCTGGCTCCACCCTCCTGTCAGGGAGTTGCAGAGAGTGAGAAGGTCCCCCCCCTCATGACTGAGATGTTTTTGGAGCAGGATCTGGTCCCCAAACTCTTTGGGTTTCTACATCATGGCTCAGTTCTGCATGAAGTACACCCCAGACACAGGTTAAATTTGTATAATCCCGGTATTTGTGGTTGCCTTGGAACAGCTTTGGAATGAGATGAGCATTAAGAGACTGAGTGAGTGGGCAATAAAGGAAAATTTCAGTGTGGATAAATATAAAGTGATATCACTGAGCAGGAAAGAATTGGAGCTTAAAACCAATGTTGCCCTGCAGGAACAAGATCCTGGATGTGGGATAGAAGTCCAATAGATGTGCAGTTTGACAATTTGAATGGAGAAGACTTATAAGCTTCTTTTGCCCAAATTTTGTTCATATTTTCATAAAACTTGTTAAAATGTTTTCCACCATCCTGCTCCATATTTTATAACTAAAGCTTTGTGATAAGAAATCTGGGCAAGAGTGAAGAGAGAGGGTGTGAAGAATATATTTGTAGCTACACTTAGAGCATCCAAAATAGTTCTCTTCCCTATTTTTTTGATACTTTCCAGCTCCTGGGATGGGTTTGAGAGCTGGAGGCTCATTTCCACTTTTTCCACACATTTTATTCAGGTGTGTGGAGATATTTTGACAGTTTTGCAGCAAGTTTCTCTGTTGAAACAAAAATAAGTTCTGTGATGTGTCCCAAAGCATAAGGAAAAAAAGGCTTTAAGAGTTACATGAAGAGTTGATATGGTTAATATTAAATATTGGAGTTTTTCAGAGCTTAGAGGTTCTGTTAAATATTTAGACTGTGGTATTAAATGCTTTATTAAATACATATTTGTGTGACTGTGAATTTGCCATTTGTCCATGAGCAGATCTATGGCTTGTCTCTTCTGAAAGAATTTTATTGGGCAGGTCAGAATTTAAGAGGAAAATACTAAAGGATTGATCCTATTCTCCACATCCACCTCAAAACCTTCCTGGAGTGCGTTTTTCAGGTGTACAAGTGGATTATGACGAGGGTTGATGTATTGAGTGGCAGATCTACTCTTGTATCTGCTCCTGTAGTACTGCTCCTTGTTCTCCAGATGGTGATCATGGGCAGCAAATTAAATGCAACGTCAGAAACTAAATAAAACAAAAATTCGGTGTAATTTTGGGCAACTGAAACCTCCAGCAAAAATGCTGAGTTCAGCCAGAGCCGGCACATAGTCCCTGGGAAACTGTTGGTAATTAATTGAGGGATAGATAAGATGGGAATTAATTGAGGGATAGATAAGGTGGGAATTAATTAAGGGGTAGATAAGGAAAGTTAGAATGATAAATTGGTGGAGATTTGCATGGAGAATTAAAAGGATGACAAAATTATTATTGCTAGTAAACCAAGCAGAAGGTAATTTGCCCAAATATTCCTTTACATATTTGAAACCTGTAAATCCCATGGGATAAAAGGAAATATTTGGGATAATAGGAAGCTTTAACAGGAATGGTGGGATGAATCCCAGGAGTTCAGAAGGAGATGATGCTTTGGAGAAGTATGGGGCTTTTTTTTTAATTTTGTTTTGTGTTTTAGATGTTGTTTCAGACCCTGGGATAGCACCCTGTGAAATAGGTTAAAGTCTTATTTCTTAGATAATTGCAAATTCAACTAGAGAAGAACTGAAGGAATATCCTGCAAACTTGGAATAGAAAAAAAAAATAATAGATGAGCTGGCTTCCCATATGATGTGAAAAATAAAAACTAGAGGAAAAAATACTTAAACCCACATTTTTAGGTTTTATACCGATATTTGAAATTATTTAAAACACAGAATGGTTGAAGTTGGAAGGGACTTCTGGACATCACCTGCTTCAAAATGTTAATTATTTCCATAAATCCCATCAGTTTTCATGGTAATGAAGCAGGATCAATTATTCTGATTGAACACACTTCATGGATTTCAAAAGCCTGCATCACATTTCTGTGGGGCATTTCCTTACCTTGGAAAAGGAGGTCAGCTCCACTCGTCAGAACATCTCATTTATTCTGTGGGGGAAAAAGGTTTTAATTATGCTGTGCATAATTAAAATAATATACATTGTGATGGAAAATGTATATGAAACCTTTGTTTTGAAAAAGGCTTACTATGATTTGTCCTAACGATATAAAAGGTGTCTTTGAAGAGATCTGGAAACAGCCCTAAAGGATTTTGCTTGCTCAGTGACTTTTTTATGGTTTTAGTAGGTAAAAACATTACCTGGTCCATTTAGGGGTGGTGAAAATATTACCTGGTCCATTTAAGTATGGCTTACTCCTGGTGCTGGACACTGGATTTGGTGGGAGCTTGCAGTGCTGGGGATCCCTCAAGACAATCCCTGAAAGCTGAAAATGTTCTCTTTGGAGGTTGTTCCTACGTTGTCTGCAGGTGGATCAAAGAAGTTAAATAAAGAGTCTTAAATCTGTTTGAGCCCACCAAGGTGGGAAAGGAAAATTCCTTGACTTTATTGTCAGTCATTTTAATACCTC